TGGTTGGCCAAAAGCAACACTTGGTTCTACTTTTATAGGAACATTATGGAATGATGATGATGATTCAAAAGAAACAAGATATACTGGTTTTATAGGTTTAACAAAAATTCCAGAAGGAAGAAAAAAGATTTCTCAAAATAAGCAAGACGTTTTTGCAAAATTATGTTGTTTTGATAAAGAAAATTCTTCAGTAGATTTATAGAACGCTATAGTTTATTTTGATAATTATAGAACATATTCACAAGAAAATTCTTTATATTAGTTATCTGATAATATACCTATATGTAAAGAATTATGTGATTAGAATTGTTATTATTATAATTATGGTTGGTCTTCTTTTGCAAGTTTAAATTCTGTTTAGGAACGAGTTACTTCAGTAAATATGGCAACGTTACCAGTTTTCTCTAATAAATTTTTCTATAAAAATGAGAATTATTTTGGAGTTTATAAAACACCAAATGCAGATATAAACATGACAGAAGATAAAGCAAATATTTATGCAAGTCATAATATATTTGAACTTTGTTTTAAATATCAGTTTGAAGATTTGTATAACAAAAACAATAAAGTGTTAAATATCAAATATCGATTAAGAGAACATCCAAACTCAGCAATGAGAAAGTTTTACTACTTTGATAATGCAACGTGGATCCTTAATAAGATAGATAATTATACACCTGGTTTTAATAATTTTACTAACTGTCAGTTTATAAAGATTCAAGATAAGAATAACTACGTTTAGTAAAGCAAACAAAGACAATAAGAAATATATTTAATTAAAAAGAAAATATCTGATAGAATGGAACAACAGAATATTTTATCTTTATCTTTGAAAGAGTATAGAGAATAGATAGACAGTTTGAAAGAAGCGTTATCAAAGCTTAATGAGGAAAGTTCAGATTATTCTAAAATATTGTCAGAAGCAAGAGATTTACAAGATGCTTTAATTTAGACATTAACGGAAGCAGAACAACAGATAGGTTCTGTTTCCAATAATGTTTCTAATTTATCTGATAATTTATCTAATTTAGGTGATGTTAATATAGAACTTGAATAGTTGAATGAACTTGATGATGAATTGTCTGATATTATTTATGATATTGATGAGATTTAGAAAAAGCAAATAGAAATACATGCAGAACATGCTGAAATTGACGATTTAGAGTCTTCCTTAGAAGATGTAAGTAGAAATGGTTTTGATGCAGCACAGAGCGCCGCAGACGCCTTTTCCGATAGCTTAGATGATGTTAATTCTGCAGCTGAACCAACATTAGACACTTTATCTAATTTAAAGAAAGAAATTGCTGATATGAAGTCTGAACTTGATAATTTAGAAATAGGTTCAGAAGCATTTAATGAGTTAGCAGAAAAGGTAAAGAATGCACAAGAAAGACTTGCAGGTTTAAAAGATTAGATGGGAGATAATGCAAGTTCTGTTCTAACTTTAAGCAAGTCAATGACTTCTGCATTTAATGATATGGGTCTTGGTCTTGGTGGACTTGAAAAGGCGTTTAATGTTGCAACTGTTGCAAGTAATGGTTTTAAAGCAGCATTAGATTTATTAAAGGCACACCCTATAATTGCAGTTATAACTATATTACTTGGACTTCTTTTAAAGATTAAAGACGCTTTTGAGAAGAATGAAGAAGCAAGTGATGCTTGGAAAGTTGCAATGGCAGCATTTCAGCCGATAGTAGATGCTTTTAATAGAGCATTAGGTTGGTTAGCAGAAGGTTTAGCAAAAGTTGCACAATGGCTTGGAGAACAACTTCCAAGCGCAATAAAATACGTTTCAAAACCAATAAGCATTTTAGTAAAAGGTGTTGGAACACTTGTAGAAGCATTTTTATTTCTTCCAACAGTAGTTGCAAAAGTATTCGATAAAGTAGTAAATTTTGTTAAAAAAGGTGTAGAATCTGTTACTGGAACATTTGCAAAAATGGCAGATGCAGTTGGTCTTGACGGACTTGCAAATTCACTTAGAAATGTAACAAAAACAGTTTCTAATTTTTCTGCAAATGTTGGTGGAGCTTTAGAAGGTTTTGCAAAAAATACCAAAAGTTGGTTTGATAAAGCAGGAAATGCAGTTTATGATTTTGGAAAGAAATGGGCCGCAACTACTGATGCACATATAAAGAAAGCAAAAGAAATGGACAAACTTGAAGATGATATACGTCAGCAAGAAGTCAGAAATGCAGAATCAGCATTAAAAGTTGCAGAATTAAGAAAGCAAGCAGCAGAAGAAGCAGATCCAAAGAAAAGACTTGAAATTCTTAAACAAATTGATGAAGAAATTGTTAAGAATGGAAAAGAATAGGTTGATATTGCAAAACGTCAGTATGAACTTGCAGCTTGGTATGCAGAACAGGCACCAAATTCAAAAGCAGATAATAATAGATTAGCACAACTTAAAGCAAATGTTGCACGTGTAGAAGCAACTTATACTAATTCACTTGTAAAAATATCTAAACAAGAAACTGCAATTCAAGAAGCTTTGAAAAAGTCTGCAGAAGCAAAAACAAAAGCAGAAAAAGCAGAAGCAGAGAAACAAGTTAAAGCTTTAATGGCAGCAGAGAAAGAAAAGTTAAGAATTGCAAATGAATATGTTAAAAACTTTAATGAAACTATAAAGAATTTACAAACAGAGAGCTCATAGCAAGTTAAAGTTTTAAAGTCAGAAGAAGATATTGCAAAAAGTTTAGGTGTTTTAAGTCCAGAAAAATAGAAAGAGTTTGAAAACAGACGTTATGAGGTTATTAAAGCAAGTAATGAGAAGATTTTAGCAGAATATCAGACAGCATTAGAAGCAGAACAGATAACAGAAGAACAGAGATTACAGATTCAAACACAATATTCTAATAAATTACTTGATATTATAATTGCAGAAAATGAACATAAAGCAAATATCAATAAGATTACATTAGAAGAAATTAACAAAAACACTGAAACTGCATTACAAGAACAAGCAGAACTTTATAGAAATAATTCAGTTGTTCAGCAATATACAGAAGCATTTGCAGGACTTAAAGAAGAAGTTCAGCAAAAACTTGTCGATGATTTATCAGTAGATGAAGAAGCTAAAGCACAAATTCTGGAAAGTTTATCGATTCTTAATGAAGATATAAAAGAAGGAACTTCAGAGTTTGATATGCAGACAGAAGAACAAGAGCATGAGCATTAGTTGAGATTACTTGAGATTAAACAAGAAGCAGCAGAACAGTTAAAAGAACAGTTTGGTGAAGATTCTGAAGAATATCTGAATGCAAGAATGGAATTAAACCAACTTGAAGAAGATGAAGAACTTAGACATGCAGAAGCAATGGGAAATATTCATAGAGATATGGACAAAAACCAGAAAAAGTCTGTAAATACACAGATTAAAGCGTATACATAGTTAGCAAAGTCTACTGCAAGTTTATTTGGAGCAATTTCTGATATTATGAAGAATAATATTGATGAAAAAGTAAAGAATGGTAAAATTTCAGAAGAAGAAGCAAAGAAAGAGTTTGAAAGAGCAAAGAAAGTACAAATAACTGAAACAATTATTAACACAATTGCGGGCGCAGCCGGTGGTTTACTTCAGGCAATTAAAACTTATCCAGCACCTTATGGCGCAATTCTTGGTGGTGTAACTGCAGCAGCAGCATTAGCAGCAGGTTATGCTTAGGTTCAGCAAATTAAACAGCAAGAATATGGTTCTTCAAGTTCTAGTGGCGCAGGTTCAGCACCAAGTGTTTCTACTGTAGATTTCCAGAGTGTTAGTGTAAACCCACTTCTTGATTAGGATCGTGATATTGCAAATATGACAACTTTACCAGAAAGCGGAGATTCAGATCAACAATAGCAGAATCAAAGAGTGTACATTTTGTAGTCCGACTTGGTGGAGAGTGGTAAACAAGTGGCTATCCGCTAGGCCGAGATCACGTTTTAATAAAAATTTCTTTAGGAAATAAGCAGACTTTTTTCTCAAATTTTAGTATATAATTTGTAGGTTTTGAGTTTAAGATTAATTTGAAAAGAAGAAAAAAGAAAGAAAATAAATTAAAGTTTAGATTTGGTTTACAGATCTAAACTTTATTTTTTTATCTATATTAGTGAATTTTTGAAGGTGACAGCGTTCAGAAATAAAAATAGGTTAAAGATCCGTTTTAGATCTTTAACCTTTATATTTTAAGATATTATATTTTGGTTGAATTTCTCTAATGAGATCTTTTTCGATTTCATAAGCTTGTTCTCGTGTTTCAGTTTCACAAACAATTTCAAATTTATATTTTTCAGGTTCTTCTCTATATGCAATAGCAAAAGCTGAATTTTCTGTAGTTCTTCTGTTCGCAAGTCTATGTAACAAGTTTTCTGTGGAACCAATATAAACAATTTCGTTTGTAGTAATATCGATATATTTATATACAATAGGTTGTTTCCTTGTAATTCTATAGTTTGTTGAATATTCTATAAGTTTTATCTTTATTCTTTTTGTAATATTCTTTACAATATTTGCTGAAATAATGTTCTTTATAGTATTTCTTGTAATATTCTTTACGTTTTTCGTTTAATTGTTCTCTATATTCAGGATTTTTTTTTACGAGCTTTTATTTCTTCTTTATGTTTATTATTATATGTTTTTGATTTTTCTTTAATTCTTTCTTTATTTTTTAAATAATATTGTTTTTGGTATTCCTTTTTCTCTTCGTCTGTCATAAAATAAAATTCAGTTTCAAATAATATAGCTTTTTAGCATAAAAGATTAAAAAATTTGCATTTTTTAGCAAAAAAATTATACAACGATTTTGATTTTTATATTACAGTAAATGGCATATAAAATTATGTTGAGAGATCTTCCATTATATACTGCAAATATTTCAGAAGATTACGACGGAATTTACGCAGTTAGTTTAGTAGATTTTCCCGCAACTGAAACAGAATGGGTCTGTTTTGAGAAGATTCAAGAACAGAAATATTCTATACAAGATGAAGATTAGCATTTATTAACTGGTCCGATCATGTTATGTCAGACACCGATTTATAGAAGAACATCAGATGGTTATGAATTTAATATTATTTATACCAAAGAAACAATTAAGGTAATGGCTGAAAAAATGTTGTCTGATATGTCACATAATAATATTGACATTTAGCATGATGGTGAGATTTTGGACAAAGGTAAAGTTAGTCTTGTAGAACTTTACGTTGTAGATAAAGAGAAAGGAATTGATCCAAAGTTTATAGATGTTCCAGATTATTCTTTAATGGCGACTTATAAAGTACATGATGACAGTTTATGGCAAGAATGCAAAAATGGCAAACTTCACGGATTCAGTTTAGCAGGATATTTTTCTATTGAACACATTAAAAAAGAAAATTTTAGGAAAACACATACGATGCTTGAAGTTATAAAGAACAAAGTTAAGGAATTTTTGCTTGAATTTAGTAATGTTTCTACAGATAAAGGTTCAATTTATTGGCAAGGTGAAGATCTTAAAGAAGGTCTTGCAGTTGCAGATGAAAACGGAGAAGTTATTGCAGATGGTGATTATACACTTGATGATGGTCGTGTAATTACAGTTAAGGACGGAGTTATTTCTTCTATATCTGCACCAACAGAAGAAAAGCCAGCAGAAGAACCAGAAACTGCACCAGAAGAGAAAGAAACGGAGCAGACAGAAGAAACTACTACAGAAGAAAAAGAAGACGACACGGAGCAAGAAACTGAGCAAGAAACAAGCACAGAAGAAGAGACTACAGAAACTACTGAGGAAACAAAAGAACCAGAAGTTGAAGAGTCTGCAGCACCAGAGTCACAAGCAGAAAAACCAGCAAGTTTTTATGAACCAGCAATTGATGAACTTAAAAATTCTATCGGTTTGATTGAAGGAAAACTTGCAATATTAGAAGAAACAGTTAAAACAATTAATGATTCTTTACAAGACATTATTTGTAAACCAGCAGTTGCACCAATTCAGGAACAATTCTCGAATACAACTGCAAATTTAAACAAACAAACAGCAAAAGCAGCTGATTATTTAGCTTATTTAAACAAACACTAAAAATAATTAAATTTTATATAAATTATGGCAAATATTGATAAAACAGGTAACCCAGTTGTTACTTCTCTTCCAGATTATGTTGAGGAAAACAAGATTGGTCTTATTGCAAAGGCAGTTCTTGGTGGCAATTCAGTAGATATGTTTAACCTTTAGACTGATGTTCTTGGTAAGACTGCAATTAACCTTTTGACTACAGATATTACACTTCAGGACGCAGAAGGTTGTGGTTTTGATCCAGTTGGTTCTCAGACACTTTCACAGCGTTATATTGAGCCAAAACTTGTTAAGTTGAACATGGAATATTGTGACAAGAACTTGCTTGGTACATGGGCACAATATCAAGTTAAAATTGCAGCAGGTAAAGAAGTTCTTCCTTTTGAAGAACAGTTTATTGGTGATGTAATTGCACATGTAAATGACGCAGTTGAAAAGACTGTATGGCAAGGCCAGAAAGCAAATGCTGGTGAATTCGACGGTATTCTTGCAGTTCTTGCAGGTTCTGCACAGACAGCAACTAAAGACGCAACTTCTTATTGGAAGACACTTCAGAATGTTTATTTTGCAATTCCACAGGAAGCAAAGAAAGAAGATACTGCTATCTTCGTTTCACCAGAATTCTACGAGGCATGGGTTCAGGAAATGATAGAGAAGAACATGTTCCATATTTTCCCAAATGATGCAGCAAATTCAGTTAAACTTCCAGGTACTTCAGTTGATGTAATTAAGGTTAATGGCCTTAGCGGCGCAAACAAGATTGTTGCTGGTCGCAAGTCTAATGTTTATATTGGTGTTGATATGTCTAATGACAAGGAAACATTTGATTTCTGGTATTCAAAGGACGATCGTGTATTCCGCCTTGCAATTGAGTTCTCTTATGGTGTTCAGGTTGCATTCCCAGATGAAATGGTTGTATGTTCACTTTAATAAAAGATAAACTTTCATAAAGTTGTTTAGTAAAAACAAAAATTTACTTAATGACTTTATGAAAGAAATTTTTAAAGATATAAAAAATTATGAAGGTTTATATCAAGTAAGTAATTTAGGAAGAGTTTACAGCATTAGAAATAATAAAATTTTAAAACCAAAGTTAAATAGATGTGGTTATTTGAGTGTTAACTTGAAATATAAAGGAAGTCGTGTTACAAAGTCTATACATAGGTTGGTTGGAGAAGCGTTTATAGAAAATGTAAATGGTTTACCACAAGTTAATCACATTGACGAAGATAAAACAAATAATTGTGTTGATAATTTAGAATGGTGTTCCGCAAAATATAATATCAATTATGGAACAAATAGAGAAAGAGCAGCACAACATTTTAGAAAACCGGTTTTAATGTTTGATTTAAACAATAATTTTATAAAAGAATTCAATTCTGTTACAGAAGCAAGTTCTTATGTGAATGGAAATTCTTGTAATATTGTTAGATGTTGTTTAAACCGCGAACACTATAATTCAGCTTATAGATATAAATGGAAATACAAATAAAAATTACTTTAATTTAAAATATGAGTTGTTCAAAAACATTATCAGGCCTTACACATGACTGTGATTCAAACATGGGAGGAGTTAAATCAATTTGGATTGCACCTTATAAAGCTGATTCAGCAACTGTTGCAGAGGAAGTGATTACAGAGATTTCAAATTCAGCAGATTATAAATATTATGCTTTCCGTAAAGGAGCAGCAAGTCTTACAAAGACTGCAAATATCGATGCAGCAAATGGCATTGCTTATGTTTCTTCAGAGCTTTTAGTAAACTTCAGCAAGATGGACACTACAAAGCGTATAGAAATGAATGCTTTGCTTTTATCTGATGTTTCTGTAATTGTTAAGGACAATAACGGCAAATATTGGTTCCTTGGTTACAATGAACCAGTTAATGCAACAGCAGGTACAGGTGCAACAGGACAGGCAAAAACTGACGCAAACCAGTATTCAATTACACTTACTGACGAATGCGCAGTTTTCCCTTATGAGGTTGCAAAAGCAGTAGGTGATGCACTTACAGTAGCTTGAGTTTCAGAGAGTTAGGAATAAATTATTATTGTTTATTGATAAGGTTGTTTATAATTTAGGTTATAAACAACCTTTTTCTTTTGTAATTAACTAAACATATATTAAACTTTTTATATTTAATATTAAATTAAGCAGAAGTTTTATGAAAGTTTCAAATAAAACAGAGCAAAGTAGAATATATTTTCCAAAAAATAAACATAATTCAAAATGTCTTTATTACAAGATTGTTTTGCATTCAGAACTTACTAATGAAGAGATTATTATTAAGTGTGTAGATGAGAAAGGACTTATGGACTACTATGTTTTTACATTAAACTTGAAAGATGTTAGAACTGGAGAATATGTTTACAGTATATTTCCAATTTATAGTTATTATTCAAAAACAGAAGAAAAAGAAATTGAATATTGTCTAAAATGTGACGCAAAAGGACTAATTATTGTTGGAGATTATGAAGGTTCTTCTATAAAATATGAACCAGAAAATAGCGCAAAAATTCATGAAGTAATATATTATGAGTAAAGATAATAAAACAAAGTCTATACCTTTATCTTTTTCAGCATTAAACCCTTATGTACAAGATTGGAAAACAGAACTTGTTGAGAAAGAAATAACAGGTTAGAATTTTATTTACTATGGAAATGATAACCATTTTCCAGATTATTTGCTTGACTTATATAGAAATGTTGCAACCTTGAAGACAATTATAGACACATATAAGTGTTATATTTGTGGAAATAAGATTATTAGTAATGTTATTCAGCTTAGCAATGATGATATGGAAGACTTAGTTGAAAGCATGGCTTTATCATACTTGATTTATGGAGGTTTTGCATTAAATATTGTCAAGAATAAACTTGGACAAATTGCAGTTGTTAAATGTCTTGATTTCAGAAATGTTCGTTCTGATAAAAAAGGTCAAGTTCTTTATTATTCAGAAGATTTTTCAGAAAAGAAAACCGCATATAGAAGCAGATGGTCTAACTATACTGCATATCCAGCTTATACAGATGAAACAGCAGATATTAAAGATATTTACACTTCAATTCTTTATGTTAAGAATGAAAGATTTTCTACATATCCACACCCAATTTATGAAGCAGCTTTAACTGCATGTGAAATGGAAAGATCTATCGATGAATATCAGATAAATTCTATAAATAATGGTTTCATGGGTTCAGTTCTTGTTTCTCTTAATAATGGTGTTCCAGATGATGAGATGAAAGAAGAAATTGAGCAGAATTTTAATGAGAAATTTACAGGAAAAGAAAATGCAGGCCGTGTAATTATTTCTTATAATAATGATAAGGATCATGCAGCAGAAGTTATAAAGATAGATACTGAAGATTTCTCAGAAAGATATAAAACACTTGCAGAAAGAACAAGAGAAACAATATTTACTACATTCAGAATAACACCAAAACTTATAGGAATTTCTGAAGACAATATTGGTTTCAATTCTTAGGAATATAGAGACGCTTATGTTCTTTTCTATAACACTGCAATTAAACCAATTCAGAATATGATTGTTAAGACAATTAACAAAATATTCAAAGAAGACGCAGTTATTATTGAACCATTTGAAATTCAATTTACTGAAGGCACAATTAAAAATGAAAAAATTGATTAATTATGAAAGACGTAATTTTAGTTTCAGAAAATTTTGTTCGTTCAAATACCAATGTTTCCAAAAATATTTAGGACAAGTTTATATAGTCAGCGGTTAGAGAAGCAACTGACGTTGATTTTGAAGAACTTGTTGGAACAAACCTTTTGAATAAACTTAAAGAACTTATAGAAAAGCAAGAAGTTAATGCACCAGAAAACAGAATATACAAAAAATTACTTGATATTGCAAAATATTATTTAGCTTACTGCGCAGTTGCAAGACTTGTAGTTATTTCTTCAGTTAAGATTGATAATATAGGCGCAAATGTAACTTCAGATGATAATGTTTCTGCATTAGATTTTGATGATGTTTTCAGACTTGAAAAATACTATCAGAATAAAGCAGATGTTTACAAGAAAAAAGTACAAATTTTCTTGCAAAAAAATGTTAAGGAGATTCCAGAACTTTATCAAGATGATTGCAGAGATATTCATGCAAATGTTTATTCAGCAGCAAGTTCTGGTTTATGGCTTGGAGGCGCAAGAGGTAAAGGAACATATAAAGAAACAAGATTAAGAGATAAATATCATAACAAAACATTATATTAAGACAAATGACTATACAGGAAATTTTACATGAAATTTAGAACATTGCTGATAATAATTCTTTTGTTAATTTTTCATATATCGGAGATGTTGAAGAAATGAAATTCCAGCCTGGTTTTGAATACCCTGGTTTTTCAGTTCAGAATTATTCTTATGACGATGAAACAAAGACTTATTATTTGTCTTTATATTTAATTTCAGAAGACAGAACTTTAGAGAATGACTGTCTTAATGTTCTTAAAGATATTGTCTACAATATAAATTTGAAACATTTAGATTTAGGAATTGTCATAAAGTCAAATAATATATAGATAATAACAGAAGGTGATTTGAATGGAGCGTATAGCTTAATTAATTTTCAAATGACTACGACTTCTTGTGTATGTGAAGACAAACCTGGTTATGTTTCTTCTGTTAATGGAAAGACGGGAGATGTTATTCTTGACATTCCAGAAATTGGAACAACAGTTATTGATGTAAATGGACAAACAGGACATGTTATTCTTGACATTCCAGAAAAGTTATCTGATTTATACCAAGATATTGAGTATGCAACACCTGATTATGTAGATGAAAAAACAGAAGCAGAACATACATACACAACTACAGTAAAAACAGATTTAGAAGATAAAATTGGTAAACTTGTAACTGGTGTTTCTTCTGTTAATGGTTCTACTGGAGATATAGTTATTTTTATTCCAAAATTGGTGTCAGACTTGGAAAATGATTCTGATTTTATTGATTCGGAATATGTAGATAATTTAATTGAACAACTTAATTCTTCAGTAAATACTAATTATGCAAAGAAAAGTGAATTAACTGAGGCAATATCAGCAGAAGTTTCAAGATCAGATAATAAATATGCAGAAAAGACAGAATTAAATAATTATGTAACAAATTCTTCTGTTTATGCAAATTATTTAAAGAAAACAGATTATGTAAAACCTGATGTTAGTTTAGGTTATGTAAATGACAAATTTAACACTTTAAATTCTTCAATTAATGAACATTTTCAAGTAAAAGGCGATTACGCAACAGTATCTTATGTTGACGGTAAAATTGAAACTTTAGATAGTTCTATAGCATAGAATTATGTTAAAAAAGGTGAAGTTCCAGAAGATGTTTATTCAAAAACAGAAGTAGATGAATTATTTAATGAATATGATGAATCTGTTGAATCTACTTATACAAAAAAAGATTATTTGGAAACACGAATTTCAGATATTAGTTCTGCAATAGATGATGGAATTGAATCTGCAAATGAGTATACAAATGGACAAATAAAAGCAGTTGAATCTGAAGTTTCTGCAAATTTAAACAAAGTTAATTCTTCTGTTAATAATGAATTTAACCGTGTTTGGGAAAAAGAAAATATTCAAGATTCAAGCATTTCAAATATTAATGATTTTATATCTTCTGTTCCAGATAATTATGTTTCAATAACAGACTATAACGAAGATAAAGAAAATATCAATGCAGAAATAAGTTCTGTAGACACAAAAGCAGATAACATTAACAGTTCTACTGCATAGGCAATTGGAACTGTTACAGGACAAATAAATGATATTTCTGAACGTGTTTCTACAATAGAAGATGATTATGTAAAACATGAAGAAATAACAGATTTTGTAACAAATACGTCTGTTTATACTAATTATGCTTAGAAGTCTGAACTTGACGAACTTAAATTGTTTAAATTTCCAAATGTAACAATTATAGGAGAACCTACAATTAATAATGGACAAATTTCTGATTTTTCTGTTAATGATTATTTAGAATTTCCATTCTTGGTAAATTTCAGGGACAGAGCATTTGAAATTAACTTTGATATTAAAACCGGTTCAAATGTAACTGCATAGGAAAACATTCTTGATTCTGATTTTGGACTTGCTTTTGCAGTTAGAAATTCAAGATTTGTAATGGCAGTTTCTACAAACGGAACTTCATGGAATTTAGGGGAAACAATAGGAACAAATGTAATTCTTCCAAATACAAGCTATAGAGTTAAGATTTCTTATGATAGATTAAGATATAAGATTCAATATTCTATTGACGGTGGACAAACTTATATTGAGGACGCAGTTAAAACAGCAGCAAACTAGTCACCATTTCCAAAACAGATGTATATAGGTGTTGGAGAAGTAAATGCAGAAGTTAAGAACGTATTTACTGGAATTATTAACTTAAATTATGCAAATTTGAAGATTAATAATGAACTTGTATGGCAAGGTATGGACGACGTTGGTTTAGCAACACGTCTTGCAGTAGATATGAGTAATATTGATCCAGCAGGTGAACAAAAAGTTAAAGATATTATTGCAACTGAGGGATATATCAAAGAAGTTCCACCATTAACTGATTATGTTACAAAAGAAGAGTTAAAAAATGTTTATGACTCAAGTTTTTATGATAAGATCGGTGACGGACCTAATTTAAAAGGAAATTCTGGTATACTAAATTTAACAGTTGATGATAAAATATTATATAACAATAATAGCGTTAGTGAAGAAATTACAATAAATTCAGAATATCAAGATTTGCCTTACCAAGGAACAGTTTATCAAAATAATGGTTTTAAAATTACAAATTTAGCACAACCAGGTGAATCTTTTGATTTTAATAAGGTTATAGGATTAGTAATTGATTCTAATTTTGGATCTGTAAGATTTATAAACCCTGGTGAAACTTTGTCTTTTTCTGCAAAAGAATCTAAAACTTTCCAAAATATTATGTTTATTAACTATGGACTTAATATTTATGGTGAAGGACATGTTCTTTTGGAAACATTAGGTGGTTCAGAAGGTAATTATGAATCTTTAAATGATTGGATAAATTCTAAACAGTATGTAGACAAAAGTTATACAGAAAGATTTATTGATTATGGTTTTTTTGACACTGTTAGAGAAGAAATAAATGAAAATATAAATACTGTTTCTGCAAAAATAGATGATGTTAGTTTAAGAACAGATTCAAGTATATCAAAATTAAATTCTTCTGTAAATACATTAGAAACAAATATTAAAAATAAGCAAGATAAACTTATTTCTGGAACTAATATTAAAACTATAAATGGTGATAGTATTTTAGGATCTGGTAATTTAGTTATTCAAGGTGGTGGTTTAGAATATTTAACACCTGGAACAATAGTTAAAACAGAAGGCGGTATGAACTTAGAGTTTATTGCAGATTTAACTACAGTAAACGAAAATAAAGCAAGAGCAATATAGATTAACAACGGTGAAACATATTATTATGAACTTATAAGTGGTTCAGGACATAATATATTTACAACTAATGAAGATCCTGATTTAATTTTATCTGAATCTACTAAATTTACTTGGAATTTTACTTCTTTTAACACTGCTTCAGGAGATACAGAAGATTTCATAAGAGTTATATCTCAAAGAAATTGGGATAGTAACAGTGTTGGTAAACTTTATAAATATTTAGGAGAACAACCTGGTTCTGAAACAACCTTAGAAGATTATATAAATTCAAAGATAGATTCAAAAATAGGCGATATAAATACTATATTAGAAAGCATATAATAATTAAAGGATCTGAAGAATTTAAATTAACAGATTCTTCAGATCCTTAAAATTTATCAAATATAAATTATGAATATTTCAGAAAATTTACAAAGAATTTTAGTAGATAAACAAAATATTGCTAATGCAATTAACGATAAAGGTGTAAGTTGCTAGTTTTCAGAGAGTTTAGATACTTATGCAGATAAAATATCAAGAATTACTGTTGGTTCTGATGAAGAAATTGTTGATAATCCGCATAAATTTAATGGTTCAGAATATTTTGACACTGGAATTAAAACACCTGACCATATTAATTATACTTATGAAATAAAATTCAAAGTTCCAGCCAACTCTGATGAACATATATTTGGTTTAAGAAGTACAAGTGTAACTAATCACATAAGTATAGTAATTGGCTGGAACTCACTCCATTGTATTTTATGTAGATATACAAGTAATAGCGGTGGTAATTAGCATACATATCTTGTATTTGTTAAAAATGGTTTAAATGATCCATTATTTAAGAATGGAAATTATTTACTTAATTGTTATGAAATAGGCGATATTGTTACTGTTAAATTGAATAAAGATAAAGCTATACTTATAAATCATACACAAAACACACAATATGAAATAGAAAATACTGGTGACGATAATTTTGAATTACCAGATGATTCTTTTTATTTAGGTGCTGTAAATACTGGTGGTATTCCATCTAGTAATAAATTTAATGATGATATATATCATTTAGCATTTATCAAAAATGATTCACCAGAACATTATTTTACTTGGAATAGTTCAGATGTACTAACAGATTATTCTTTTATGAAGAATCTATCAAAACAAGAAATTTCTGACTTAAAAGATACTGTGATTGCAGAGAAAGATACTGTGATTGATGCTAAAGAAACTTTGATTGCAGAGAAAAATGTTGAAATAGGAACACTTAAAGCTCAAATAGAAAGTTTAAAAGAAGAATACGATCCAGAACTTGACGATTATACACATATATTCTTTGCACCACAAAGTAGAACAACAGTATACTCATTCCAAATTAACCCTACAGGCGAAACTACAATAGACTGGGGTGATGGAACTACACCAGATACATTAACTACTACTGGAATTCAATTTGTTTCTCATACTTATGATAGTTTGACTAGCGCTTCTGCATCAAATAATGGTGTTGGTTCAGTTATGTATACACAAGTAGAAATTAAGATTCATAGCGATAGTTCATATAGCATAGAAGGTAGAGGAACAAGTTCAGGTACAACATTGACTGCAACAAATTATCGTGGTATGAATAACATAGCAAACTATCTCAGAGAAATTATACCCGCTAATAATTGTACTTTTGGACAGTATGCTTTTAGTAATTGTATAATGTTGACTAATATAAAATTTAGTCCGTTACAAACAGAGATACCACAATATTGTCTTCATTAGTGTTCTTCTTTAAGTCTTCCAAAGTTTGATAACATTACAGCAATTGGAACATATGGTTGTTATGCCATTTATAACTCACCAAAAACACTAATTATACCACAAAACATTACATCAATGAGTTCTTCTATATTTTATAATTGTTATAGAATCACTAAAGTTATATGGAACTCACCACAAATGTTTATACAAAATGGTACATTCGGAAATTGTATGCACATAGAGATATTAGATTTACGAAGTGCTACACAAATAATGAGATTTGGAACATCTGTTACATCCACAATAAATGGTTCATATTCATATATTTGTTCGTTTACTGGTAAGTTAAAAATACTTGTTCCAAAGAATCTATATAACTCTTGGAAAACTTCTACATACTGGAGATATTTCTGGCAGTTCTTATATTGGGTAGATGATGATGGAAATTATAGAAATGATGTGGTTTAACATATTTTAGTATTTTGATAATTGATATTCCCGGTTTATATTATTAACGGGAATACCAATTTTTATATTTAATTAAAAAGAATATTTGCAAATATTATGACTTTATACGAACTTATTGAAAACATAAAGAATTTAGGAAAGTCAGAACCAAATGTTAGTTTTGTTACACAAGGTGATATTTATGAATTGAATCATTAGCAAGATATTGATTATCCAGCTTTTGTTGTTACTCAAGGAACACATTTCGGTTCAGCAGAAAATGGTGTAGAAAATTATGGACTTACACTTTTCTTGGTAGACAGATTAACTTCTGATAAGTCTAATGAACTTGATGTTTAGTCTTGGGCAGATACAGGACTTAAAAATATTATTGCAAGAATAGAAGAACATAATTTAGGTGTTATTTAGGGACAATATACTGTTCAAACATTTACAGAAAAATTTGATTCTCTTTGCGCAGGCGCTTATGTTTCTCTTAATATTCAAGTTCAAGTTCTTGAATGCAATTGTTGTGAAAACAAAATAGACTTAGTTACTTCTGTTAATGGACAAACTGGCGATGTTATAATTAAAGGTTATGAAGGCGCAATAGTTTATTCTGTTAATGGAAAAACTGGTGATGTTGTCTTAGATATTCCAGATAAAAAAGACTATGTTTTAAATTCTTCTCTTTCAGCAAATTATGCAAAGAAAACAGAATTAAATAGTTATTTGCTTAAGAAAGATTACAAAGAACCTGATGTAAATAAAGCTTATGTAGATAGAAAAGTTTCAGATTTATCTGTTAATATAAATAATAAATATGCGACTACAAATTATGTAGATTCTAATTACATAAAAAAAGGAGATGTTCCAACAAATGTTTATACAAAAGATGAAACATATAACAGAACAGAAATTGATGAAAAAATTTAGGAACATACTACTGGTGTTATTTCAGTAAATGGACAAACTGGTATAGTTACATTAGATATTCCAAGTCTTGATGGTTATGCAACAGAAAAATATGTTGAAGATAATTATGTAAAGAAAGGAGAAGTTCCACCAGCGCCAACTGATTATGTAAAGATTGCAGATTATAACAAGTTTGTTCAAGATTAGTCTATAGTAGACGAATCTCAAAACGATGCGATAGAAACTCATAGTCGTGAAATTTCTGAATTATCTGATAGTTTGTCAGATGTATATTCAAAAACTGATGTAGACGGTTTATTTGCAGATTTAGATAGTTCTATATCATCTAATTATGTAAAGAAAGGAGAAGTTCCACCAGCACCAACTGATGTTTATACAAAGTCAGAAACAGATTAGAAAATATCAGAATTTTTAAATAATTATTATACAAAACCAGAAACATATACAAAGTCAGAAGTAGATAAACTTATAGAAGATATTTCTGGAGGCGGTGGTGTTGAAAAACATGTAAATATTACACAAGCAGATTATGATAATTTATCAGATACAGAAAAAATGAATGGTAATATTTACTGTATAGTAGATGCTTTTAATATAGATGATTTTATTACAAATGAATATCTTGAAACAAAGTTATTAGGATACGTAACTACTGATATGTTAAATAGTTATGTAACAACTGAAACTTTAAATAATTATGTAGAAAAAGCGTCTTTTGTATATGATTCCACAACTAAAACTTTAGATATTAGAATATTATGATAATTACAAATGAATCAGTAGAAGATATAAGATTTATAAATGATGATGTAGATGTTCTAAAGTTCAATGGCGTTGTCGTTTGGGAAAGAACACATAAAATTGACTGGGGACCTGGTTCTTCAGAAATTGAATTATTTCCAAATTTATTTAATTATAGTGAAGGCCTAGTTTTTCAGAAAGGATCATGGTTTGCAGAAGATAATGGTTTTATTGTTAAATTTAGAGTTATTGAAGGTTTTATTTACTACCAGTATAGATTTTTCTTAGGTAACCAAATAATTAATGTAGGTTCTAAAATAATGGTCAGAGAAGGCGATGTTATAGAACTAATATTTGATAAAACGCAAAATATTGTAAATTTTGAAGGCTTAGGAGTTTCTGGAAACATTACATTTATAGATGATAGTTTTGAAAATTCTGTTGCTCAATGTTGGCCTTATGGTAATATTTATAACTTTGGTAATGGTTGTTTTTCAGGAAGAGATTTTATAACAGATACACGATATTTAAGAGGTTCACTTGATGAACTTCCAGATTTTTCTGGTTGTAGATATTTGAAATATATTAATTTAACAAACTTTGATTTATCTGAAGACTTCGATTTTAGATGGCAATTTTATAATTCAGGACAGAGACTAGATGATCTTGATATTGAACATTATATATTAGTAAAAGACAAAGCAAATTTAGAAATACTAAATAACCATTTATCAGAACTTATAGATGAGTCTTCAAAATATATAACTGGAATTGCATCAATAAAACCGTAAAATTAATATTAATTTATTATGAAATAGATTACACATGAATAGAAATTAACACTATAGTTGATAGCCGGTTTTGTTCTTTGCGTTTTTGGTATGGCAATGCTTACTTCTGGTTTTTTAGTTCCGCCTTTAGGAATTATAGATAATAGTGTTTTGGTAGCTTTTGGTGAAGTTATGACATTTGCAGGCGGACTTATAGGTATAGATTATACTTATAAATATAAGATATTCAAAGTGAAGACTGAAAATAAAGATGACCAATGATTATGAAAACTTTTTATAAATACAAAGGAAGAGATATTTCATATTTGAAACACTTAGATAAGAATATATATAGGTTTTTCTCAAATGATATTAGAACAAGTTCAAAACTTTTATATGACAGTGAAACTATAAAAATATTTTCAATATATGGGGCAAGTAATTTGCACCTTGATATTCAATAGATTCATAACAAATTAAATAACAACACATTATATTGTTATGGAATATTTGTTAATAATAACAAAGTAAATGATGGTTTAGCAAATATAGTTTATAGGTATATTCCTGGCGCCAATGTTCAATATTGCTCAAGATTTATTTATAATATTCCGCTGAACAAGAATCTTGCTTATATAATTACAATAGATTTAAAACCCGCCGTTGAATAGGATAAATTTATTGCACCTCAAGAAATTAATTTTAATTATAAAATATCATAAATAGTTAAATAAATTATGGAATTATTGAAAAAAGGTTCAAAAGGTATGTCTGTAACCACTTTATAGACATACCTTAAAAACGCTGGTTATAATTTGATTATTGACGGTGTTTTTGGAGAAATTACAGAAGAATGCGTAAAAGATTACCAAAAGAAGAACAAACTTGTTTCTGACGGTATAGTTGGAGATAAAACATGGAATTCTCTACTTGGCTCAAAACCAACAACTTAGACAAAAAGGAAGATTACAGAAGTTTATTTACATTGTTCTGCAACAATAGAAGGAAAAGAATATACAACTGCTGATATAAAACGTT